TGACAGTCCCCTTAGCACCTTGGGGGCCGGTGTGCATTGTGTAAACCTCATGTGAATCCAACCACCTGCTCTATTAGGTGCTTGGTTGCTGTGCAGAGCGAGCCCAGCATGGGAAGTCTCTGTGTGCTGCGCACGTGCACAAACACACTCGAGTGACCTTGCCCTAGAGCGTGTAATCTTAGGGAGGAGGCTTTCTCATGCAACCCGCGGGAGCAGAGCTGTGCTCTGGGATCTCAGCACTCTGTGTCTCTCCGATACCAGTTTTGTTCATGGAAATCTCCTGGAAAGAACTTATTAAAATGCAGATCCTGGCGCGGTGGCCCAGGATGGTGTGGGCATTTCTGCTGCCCTGACTTCCGACCTGACACAGCTCTCAGCCTTGAGGGCGCTCAGCGACCCCGCACGTCCCTTTTGGCCTTGGCCGAGCTGACGCAGAGGGTCGGCCAGCTGTGCCTGGCCAGACAGGGCAGTTGCAGCTGCGGGTTACAGGGACAGCCCTGCACCAGGTGAGTGCCGGTGGCACAGTCGGACCCGTCAGGGCGGGAGGACACCACAGACTTGCAGGCGGGCACTTTAGAGGCCCCCTCTGGCCTTTAGGTGATATTCTGGAGCTGTCCTGACAAGGACGGAACTCAGGGAGCTGTGAAAAGAGAAAACCATGGGCAGTGGGCGTAGTGGCGCACACCTGTGATCCCAGCACTCTGGCAGGAGGAGGAAGAGGAGCAAGTTCAGGCCCCACCTGGCAACTTAGTAGCTTAGACTCTGCTTTAAAAAGAGGAGGGTTAGGAATATGGCTCAGCGTGAGGGCCTGGGCTCAATCCTCAACACCACCACCAAAAAAAAAAAAAACCCCCAAAACAAACAAACAAACAAAAAACAACACAGGAACAGGGCTCCCGGCCAGCTGTGGGGTATAGCTCTCTACTGGGTAGCTCCCAGGAACACATGTAGAGTTCTCAGTGACCCCCAGCCTTCTTGCTTCTGCCCCACCCTTCTTTAAGAGCCCAGAGCTGCTGTGATGTGACCCAGGCCAGGCAGCCGCCTGCTGTCCTGGCAGTGCCCTGGCCCCTGGCAGCCCCGTCCCTAGTACTGGGCTTCCCCGGAGCTGCCCCCTCACACACTTCAGCTGAAAAGTAGGAGATCCCGTCTGGTTCCAGAGAACATTCCTCTGCCAGATTCCTGAGAGCTGAGGTGTCTCTGGGTACGCAGCCTCTCCTCACCCAAGGTGCTGAGGGAAACAGCCTGTGGCTGTGCAGGGCCTGCCGTTGCGGCTTTCCGGGGACCTGGGTGCCTGTCCACCAGCCTGGGCGCTGTGGCCGTGACAGCTGTGGTCCTGTGTGCCTGTAGCAGTTCCGTCTTGCTCCAAGGGACTGTTAATATCTGAGCGTTTCCTGCCCTGCCCGGAAAGGGCACCATTCGTTGATTTGTTCATTCATTCTTCATTCAGCAAGGATCTGGTGTGGAGGGCAGGTAGCAGTGCACGACACAGTCACTGCCCCTGCAGGCACTGGCTCACTGCTGCGGCGACCAGACGCTGGCCGGGCTCCTTGTCTGCCGCAGGCCTCATGCCTCTCTCTCCCAAAGCTCTTCTGTGTGGCAACATTGGCACGAACGAACCAATGTTTGGCCAAACAGGATGTGGTTGTGGGTGGCTCCCGGCTTCGGGCAAACCATGGTTGCTGTTTTCAGTTGTCTCCAGAGGTGCGGCCTGCCTCCCACAGCAGTAGGCACTTCGGAGTCCTGCAGGGGAGCCCTGGCCAGGTGAAGAGAGGCTGCAGAGCTGTGCCTGTTCCTCAAGGCCAAGAGGTGGGGAGAGCTGGAGAGTCTGGGTTTGGCTTGGCTAGTGGGGAGAACCGGATTTCTGGTGGCTGCTGTGCTTCTGGGCGCTGGCCGGCAGGAGGTGGGTTTGTCAGCAGGAGCCGCCGAGCTTCGCAAGGCCCCACTGTGTGCAGAGCACCTGGCCTCCCTTCCCGGGCCTGCAGAGGCCCAGCCGTGAGGTCCCCATGCTTCCAGTAGATACAGATAACACTTGAAAAGATTTGGGATAATTAAAGCACTACGAAAACAGCGAAGACTTGCACAGGCTTGTGTCGCCATGGCCCAGGCTGAGAAATGGAACTCCAGCCTTAACTTTGATGCTCCAGACTCCTGCCCCTTCCCTCCCTCCCAGGACAGGTCGCAGGTGCCCTGAGCAGTTCCTCCTGTGTGTCCGTCCTGATAGTCTTTCCTCAGCTCCATTTTTGTTTCAGCACCTAGAGTTCTGTCCGGAGCAATATTGTTTTTGTGTTTTAAACTTTTATATAAATGGAAGTCTCTGTTTGTGGATGCCCCTCTCCCCACCCTAGAACAGAACTGGCCTAGCAACCTTCTTCTAGTGAGTAGAATTCATCGAAGTGGTGATGTCCCTCCATGCCTAGGTTACCTGGTACCGCAGTGACTTCCGCACTGCTGTGCTGGCTCTGGTGACACAGCTGCTGTGTGGAGAAGCTCCATGGCCAGGGATGCAGGTGGCCTTGCACCAGCAGCCAGCACACAGCTGGTGCCCTTGGCCCTCTGGGAGAGCAGTGCCTGCAGCCAGCACCCAAGTGGGCTGGGAAGAGGATGAGTCTCCACCCAGCTGAGCCATACATGGGTCCCTGAGCTACGGAAGCAGGAGACGTGATGGGTTTCTGTCCTTGTCATTTGTTGTGCAGCAACTAAAACGCAGTCTTCCAAGAACTCTTGTGTGTTCTTGAGGTTGGTCTGTGTCGATGTGTGTGGCTGGCACCGGACCTCCCGGGGGCAGCAGTGCTCACCACCCTGCACTGTCCCGAACCTCACTGGCCGCCAGATCTTTGTCCCGAACTACAGGCCAGCTGCTCTTCCCTGGCAGGGTTCGTCCACCTTCACCTCCATCCACCTTTGCCCCTCCGGGTAGTCTGAGGGTGTGAGATGGTATCTGATTTGTTTTTAGCTTAGGTTTTCCTGTTTCCCGTGCTGCTAGATCCTTTTCAGGGTTTTGATCTATTGAATCGTAGGAGTACTTTGAACTTTCTGGAAAATAAGCTTTAGTCTTGTGACTGCCAGTTCGTTTGTGCCTCACCCTCATGAGTCTTTAAAATCAGCAGGGTGCATTCTGTCTGTCTGTCCCCGGTGGTGGTGCAGCAATATGCAGAATTCTGTACCCAGGCCTTCCCCAGGCTGGGCCTGTGGGATGGGGCTCCCCCATCATGGGACCTGGTCCAGCCTTCCTGAGGTGGACCCTGTGTGGCTCATCTGGGACATGTGGGCTGGGCAAGACCCCTTGCCTTCAGCCCAGACAGATGCAGGCTCTGGACTCTCCCAAGGTGGTGGCAGCGCTCTGTAGGAATGCGGCTGTGGGTGTGTTGAGAACCCATGCATTCCTGGAGGAAGTTAAAATTAGAAAGAGCTGCTACATTTCCTGCCATTCAGCCGCAGCCGGCTGGTGTTTGTTTGCACAGGGCTCCTTTGGTAACAATCTGCAGTGGGTCGCTGGAGGAATGCGGGGTGAAGTCATGATTTTCAGGATGGAGGTGAGCGGTGACCATGGCGACCTCTGTTGTGGGCGTCACCGCTTTCTGAGTCCTGTAGAAAGACTCTGGACTGGAAAAACATTGAAACAGTCTTCTGATCTCATCATTAGCAGAAACTTTCCATATTTATGTGTTTGTTTGTTTAATTATTTTAGAAAGCAGCTCTTTAGTGGTTAGTATCACGGAGTGGGTCTTCCAAGTTCAGCTGCTGGTCTTCCCTCCACCCTACTCCTGGGGGAAGAGGAAGTACTTCTTGTCACTTCCTGTAAGGCTGGACTTCTTGGGTACCAGGATTGGCCAGTAAAAGTGTAATAGTCAAGTATATTTGGGACATACACTAAAAAATTACATGTCGTGTCCCCTGAATTCAAATTTAAACGAGTCTCTGGTTTTATCTGGAGACCGTAGCCTTCTGGACCGTACTTTACAGTTCTAGGTCACCATGGTGAGTCTCACCCAGCCATGGAGGTGCGTGGCCTACTTGTGGCTGTTGGTGTCATCCGTGGGGACCACTATGGGTCCTCTGGGCCTGTCCACTTTCATGTTGGGGTGCTGACTCGTGCTGATGCTGAACTGGCGGCTCCCACTTAGGATAGAGCAGCATGGACTTTAAGGGAGGCCAGGGGAAGGTAGTCCTCAGTGGGTGCTAAGAGGCCGGAAGTGTGTGCTGAGCGGGGAGACCTTCCACATGGACAGGGAGACCTGGCTTCAAGAGGTCTGGGTGGCAGCAGAAGCAGGATGCTTTGTTCATGCACCAGGGAACAACACCCCAAGTGTGGGGACCCTGGGTGTCACGCGCACCTCGCCAGCAAGGAGCACGCAACACTCAGGATTCTTCTGATGCACGCTTTATTGGAGGTTCTTCTACATTCTTCAAGATGGCGGAAAGACCCCGAGCCGGATGCGAGCCTGCCTTTTATAGCCTCTCGGGTGACGTGGCCCATTTCTATTGGTCAATGCCGGCCTGCGTCATTCTGACGAACCAAGCGCCTCTTCTGCGCATGCGTGAACCACCGTCACCGGCGGACTCACCTCCGGAATTCATGCACAGCATGAAGAACCCGGAAATAACGGCGCGTGACATCTCCCCCTTCCTTAAAATAACTAGAGCTCAGGAGGAGCCTGTCAACCACCCCAGAGGCCAGGGGAAGGTAGTCCTCAGTGGGTGCTAAGAGGCCGGAAGTGTGTGCTGAGCGGGGAGACCTTCCACATGGACAGGGAGACCTGGCTTCAAGAGGTCTGGGTGGCAGCAGAAGCAGGATGCTTTGTTCATGCACCAGGGAACAACACCCCAAGTGTGGGGACCCTGGGTGTCACGCGCACCTCGCCAGCAAGGAGCACGCAACACTCAGGATTCTTCTGATGCACGCTTTATTGGAGGTTCTTCTACATTCTTCAAGATGGCGGAAAGACCCCGAGCCGGATGCGAGCCTGCCTTTTATAGCCTCTCGGGTGACGTGGCCCATTTCTATTGGCCAATGCCGGCCTGCGTCATTCTGACGAGCCAAGCGCCCCTTCTGCACATGCGTGAACCGCCATCACCGGCCGACTCGCATCCGGGATTCATGCAGGGCATGAAGAACCCGGAAATAATGGCGCGCGACACCTGGGGAATGGGGAGTCTGTGTTGGAGACTTAGCCCTTAGCCGAGCCCAGCTGACCCAAAACTCAACTGGCTGGAGGTCCCTGGCCCCAGGGGAGCTTTCTTCTCTGTTCCGGTAGCAGGTGCTCTCAAAGCAGGATGTCTGTGTGTCAGGTGCAGGCCTAAGGGCTGGAGCTGGAGCACAGGTGGATCAGCTAAGACAGGTGGGTTCCTGAACCAAGAACCACACAGCTCACTGAAGTGGTGCTGGTTCCTCAGGAGGAGTCTGCAGCTCCCCACCCCGCTTCAAGGGCTGCTCCTGCCTGGCCTGCTGGGCTTTGAGGACCCGAGTTTGCACCCTCTCGTTTGCATCCACTTGTGTATGTTGTCACGGATACTCTAGAAGTGATCTGTTAACACAGATTCACAGTGCCTGCCAGGCTTCAGCGGCTGCCATGTGCTCAGGTGAACAGTACAAAGATTGTGCCTTTGTGGGCATTTATTCTGGTGGAAGAGATAAGGAATTAACAGAGGATAGATCAGGAGTGTCAGGAGTGACAGGTAAAGCTAGGCGCAGGAATGAGGCAGAAAAAGTGGTCAGCTGTACACTCTGCCCAGAAGTGATCCACGTTGGGTTATGCATTTTTTATGTAAAGATGCCTGTTGGGGTATAAACACCCTTTGTGGTTTTTTTTCAGACTTAGCCTGAGTATGAATATATCCTGCTAATGGAACAAAACACTTGTCTGACCTTCTGAATTGGGGTTTTCTGGCACTCAGAGCAGCCCGCTGGCTTGGAGAAATACAGAATGCTGTGCTTGTTCCAGCCACTCAGCCATGTGTCGGTGTCTCGGCCAAACGCCCCACTTTACATGTAACATCAGTTCTGGTTTGTGACCCCAGAAAGCAGATCCTGGTCCGAAGACGAAGGTGCTAATGTTTTGGGGGAATTGGCTGCTGGCAGCAAGTGGGAGGAGAGGAACCTGTAGGGCAAAGTGAGGAAAGAGAAAGCAGTTGGCTTGCGGGAGTGAGCAATCGGCCACTGAGAGCTGCAGCATTGACCACAGGGCTGCCCCCCTCCACAGGGGTTCCCTGCAGCACCGGTGAGGTGTCAGCCCCTGGAGGGCTGGGCTGGGAGCAAAAGCAAGTCAGCGGGTGAGAGTCCCACTTCCTGTGGTCCCCTGGGGTTTGAGAGAGTGATGTCCTTCAGCTCCGTGACAGGCGCTGGACAGGGTCTGCCTTTGGGGTGCAGACCGCAGTGTGGGGGGCATCTGGAACGTGGTGCAGGTTAGATGCAGGAGGAGAGACACACAGGCATGGCCCACCTTGTACCTCGCACCCTCCCTGCTCGGGTGGCCCCTTTGAGACGCCTGCAGGAGCGGCTGTTTTCCGCCTTGTTCCATGTGCCTGTGAGCAGCTTTGTGTCTGCGGACGTCTCCATGGATTGCATTCTCTCCTGCATTTTCCAAGTCACCAGCCTCATTGCCTTCCTAAGAGGGGCCGAGGACAGGGGCTGGGGGCACGCGTGACACTGCAGCCATTGGCTAGCACTGAGAGCCACAAGAGAGCAGCGGGTGTGTACCTGTGCTGACCTCCATGCCTCATTTAATTAAGGTCAGGAGAGACAGATTCAGAGCACTCGAGGGTGGATGGGCCGATCACGGAGGCTCAGGGCTGCACCGCTGTGAGGGACGGGGAGAATAACCCCAGGCTCCGTATCCCCATAGCCCTGGGCCGGTGCCCCAGAGACCAGGACCTGCTCTGTGCTGTTTCATCCTGAGGGAATCCAGGAGGAGGTGCCCTCACCGGGGAAAAGTACTGTGCCCTTTGACCAGCTGTGTTCGTGGGCTGGGAATATTTTAAAAATCAAATACACAGTAATTTTATTCAGGTTTTGAGATTTAGCCAATGTTTTTGGCCAGTGATTCCCTTCTGACTCAGTTTCCACTTCTGATCTGAGGACTTGTGATCTGAAGGGGGTGGTCTGTGATGTGTCCTCAGGTGAATGAGCCTGTGTCGCTGGGGCTCGATCCTGGGTCCTTTCCACTGAGCTACACCCCAGCCCTTTTGCGTTTTATGCTGAGACAGAGCCTCTCAAGTTGCCCAAGCTGGGCTCAAACGAGGTTCCTGCCTCAGCCTCGCAGAGTGCTGGGATTCCAGGTGTGCACCTGGCTAGGCCTTCTAAGCCAAGAGTGTCCTCACAGTCCAGCTGTAAGACGAGGCCCCCTGCCCCTATACAGGGCTGAAGAGAGAAGGGCACTGTTAGTCCCAGTGAGTCAGGCAGGGAAGGAAGTTGGATCTCGCTGAAAAGCTGCCTTGGGTGTCCACAGCCGACTTTCTCTTCTCTTGCCCCTCTCACTATTGCTAAGGTGAAGATTTGACCGGCAGGAGGGAGGGCCCAAGAGGTCAGAAGGCTGGACTGTCCCAGCGCTCCGTCCTGGTGGTCCTGGTTGTGAAAGCTCTCGGGGTGGGCCGTGTGTGGCTTTGGACATAGGAGGCAGTGCTTGATGGGCATGGGTGAGCTGAGGGACCATGGTGGTGTCACTATCTTATCAGTCACCTGGGAGGTCCAGTGACTGCCCCAAGCCCAGCCTAGGCAGAGCTGGGATTTGAGTCCATGTTGACACAAAATATGGATCTATAGCACAGTGGACTTTTCTGAGTTGCTTTTAGCATTCTCGACATTTGTTGGAGGTAGAAACTCTCAAGACTGGAAGCCATAAACTCCTTTATCTGCTTCAGGCAGGATGTTTGGCCTTTTTCCCACTTCTGGACTTGGCAGTTTTGTAATCCCTCGGGAACAGGGGAAGAAAGAAGGAAACCCTGGGCCCCACACCCTCCCCTGCAAACACCCAGCCTCCCTGCAGCCCACTTTGTCTTCGGGTTGTTTTCTCTGTCAAACAGTGCTGTGTTTTTCAAGGTCTCAGCTGCTATCTTTGGGGGATGCTGCCTCGTGGTCTGGACTAAACCATTGGAGTGCTGGTTCCTCATCTGCGGAGGGACCCCGGTGGCACCTGTCTCACCCACCACACAGGTGTGTTGAGGAAAGCAACAGAGGGGCCACATGGAAAAGCACATTATCAAAGCGTACAATCATGTGTTACGCCCAGGGTTCCCCAGCGCCCCCATGTTTTCAGGATTCAAGGGAGTGACCAGCACTCTGTGCCATAGCAGTTGTCTAGGTGACTTGGTCCATGCCTTACTTGGTACAAGAAATTAAGTCCCACACCTTGATTTCACAAGAGTTTCTTTAGGATTCTGCTCTATATTTGTCACTAGGTATCTGGTATTTTATGTTTCAAAGAAGAAAGAGACAGATTCTTTGCCCTCTATATGGTCCATGGGTGAGTAGAGAAGGGAAAGGAAGGAAAACTCACTGGATATGAATTCATAGAGAAACCTCTTTTACAGTTGCATAAACCAAGGCCCAGAGACTGTAGGTAATTTAGGCAGTTCACCAGGTGAGTCTGAAATGTGAGCTCCTGATGATCTTGAGACCCCCATTTATCAGGCTGCCTCCCGGCATGAGGTAGCTCCTCCTTGTGGTGCGCCCCGATTTCCAGGAGGAGGTTCAGCGTCAGGCCTGAAGCACACAGCCCCACAGGAAGCACTTCTTCGCCAGCTTTCAGGTGCCGATTGTCCAAACATTAGGTCAAAACCTCCAACCCACCACTGGAGCCCAGAACTCTGAACCAGATCCCATTGTGAAGGCCCAGGTGATTGGTCAGTAAGCTGAAAGCATTAGTCAAAGTCTGGGAGAATAGCTTTTTTCAAAGTGAAAAAAGCAAATGCACCTGATCTGCCATCATCTAACTGCTGGGTGCAAGTCTTGCCCGAAGTGGATTTGGCCACAAGCAGGATACAGCTTTTGGTTTCCAGTTGAAAGCAGAGCATGGAATGACAAAGTGACAAAGCCCAAATCCAGTGGAATTTTATTGTATTTTCTTCAGGTGCTTCTCGTGCAGTTTGAGCATGGTTTTAAGTGATTCACCTTTATGGAGTTTTTCTGAAATTTTCCACTTGAGTTGTCATGGAAGCCACTTCCTCCACTCATGACCATTAGTTTGTGACTGGGGCCGCCAGCTCAGCCCTGTGGGAGCAGAAGCCCAAGTAAAGGGAGGAAGCAGCCACAGCCATGGTCAGCAGGCCTGGTACTATGAGGGCACAGTCACAGTAAGACAGATGCCAGGAAGGAAAAGCATTCAGATAATGTGGCTGCAAGGTCTCAAAAACCCATTGCTAGATCTTGTCCAGGTTCCAGGTAGGGGCTCCCAACGTGCAGAACCAGGGGTTGGCCAGGCAGATGAAGAAGTGAACTTGGCTGCTGTCTCTTGATACTTTTCCCCTAACTGTGCTTAATATTTGGTGGGTTTTTTTTGTTTTGGGTACCAAGGATCGAACTTTGTGCTTGTGAGGCAGGTGGTGGCACCACTGAGCTACATCCCTGGCCCCTATGCTTAATATTTGGTATAGATTTAACACAGAAAAGAGGAAGGTTATATCATCATATTCCTTTCTTCATTCTCAGTAAGATTTGAAATTTTATGTGAGTATAAGGTAAGCAATTCAGATCTGTATTCCATGTAAGAGAATTTAACTGTACATCAGGTGAGATTTCATTTACTTTCTCTTGGCTACATCATCTCTCCCTTGCCTAAATACTTTTTAGTGTCAGTTCTAGTATCAATGTTGATAGCATTAAATATAAAGGCTGTACCTGGTCTACTGGTTATTTTCCCAGTTTTATGAAAGCGTCTTCTCCCACAAACAGTGAAAACCCTGGGATTAAGTCCATGGCCAGGCTGCAGAACCCTGATCCAGTCTTGGGTATCATCTGCCTGACACACTGACCCCAGTCAAGTTGACCTGCATTTGGAGGAGATGCAGGAGCTGCTGTGCTGCCCAGAAACCAAGAATGCTGTTCTCTTTGGGAGTCAGAACCAGCTCTAGATAAACACTTGGATGCTGATGTCGGGCCTATTCCTGCCTCCCCCTCTGGCCTCGTCCTCCATTGTTTACATTGCTCCTGCTATTTCTGTTCTGACTCCCTTGGCCACCATACTTGGCCAGCCCCACTGTGCTGATGAGTGAGTGCTGCTGCCCTCTGGCTTGAACCTACAGCACCTAGTGCCATAAACACTGCATAAGTGGAACTGGCACAGAATGGCACCTGCAGACCTGTCTGCAAAAGCCCAGGGAGCAAATATTCCCAACTTTGTGGGCCACAAGCTCCCTGAAGCTGTTCCTGCTGTAGCACAGATGTGGCTTAAAGAAGATACAGACGAATCGGTGTGGCTTGTGCAGTAAACTTTAGACATTGCAGTCTAAACTTCGTATAGGGCTCACATCATGAAGTAATCTTTTGATTCCTGTCCTCACTCTCTTATGACTTAAAAATGTACAAATATTCTTTGTTCCCGGGCCAGACAAAGACAGGTGGTCAGGCTGGATTTGGCCCATGATACAGCCTGCCTCTGCTATAGGACAAGTCTTCATTTAATTCTGCTCCTCTAGCACTTGTGGATGGAAGAAGGGAACTCATTTCTTACCACAGAGAAGCTCCAGTGTGTATGTAGACAGATGCAGAAGTGACCTCTTTGATGGATCCATCAATATCTGCTGCAGTGACTGTAATCCAAAAAGTAGGTTAAGGAGCTTTCCCAGTGCCCAGGAAGCAACTGTACAGTTGCTTCATCTCTGCCTCTAGGGTCTCTGTGGATAAAACCTTAGGCTGCATTCAGAGGTTGTTGGCTGAAATTAGGAAACCACCACGGTCCTAACTGAAGAGGCTTTTGCAGAGCGCTTTCTCTCAATGGTCTTGGAAATTGGCAGGCTGGTGAGAACTTCTTTCCTATTTTGCAGATACGTTATGATGTATTTGCATCGTAGGAATGTCTGAATGGAGAACCACAAAACTCTGGGTGGCTTGGCCAACAGGAATTTCCTTTCTTAGTAATCTGAAAGTAGGAACTCGAAGATTAAGGTACAAGCATGTTGGTCTCTCCTGAGGTCTAAGAGGAAGAATCTGCAGCTCCTGCTGCATGCTGGCAGTCCCTGGCTCTCCAGCCATCGCCCACCACTGTCATTGTGTTCATATGGACCCCTGCTTGTGTGCAGGTCTGTCTCCAGTTTCCTTTTGTAACCAAGTCACTGAGTCATACTAGGCTAGCATCCTGTTCTCACTTCAGTCTGATCATTCCTTCAAGATTCTGTCCCTAAAGAAGGTCCCATTCATTCTGAGGTGCTGGGGCTTAAGACACTAACATAAGACTCTTGGGCAGACACAGTTCAGCCCATACTTTGGAAATAGAGGTCCTGGCTGAGGGTCTTGATGGTGGCTGTTGTGGAATTAGGATTTGAGAGTTTCCATCTCTTCATGAGCATAGTTTCTATCTGAATGTGGGGGTGAGGACCTTGGCCTCCTGTCACTATCCATCCAGCTTTCCAGGTAGGACTAGCTCTGCAGTTTTGCATCTGCTGAGACTGTTGTTGAGGCAGCTACTTAGAAGGGCACACAAGGGATGTAAATGCCTCTTCTGTGGGGCTGTTGCAGAAGACACTGGTGTTTTGGATTCCTGTAGTCTTGGCAGAGTGGTTTGTTGAGACTCCCCAAAGTCTGACTAATGACAACACTGATGCATCCTAACCAAGCAGAGTTAGGCACCTTAGACCTTGTGCAAACTTGCTCCTTCTGCATTAAATCCTATGGTTGACTTTTGGGGCCATGGAGACTGATGGGGTCACTGGAGTGTGGTGGCTCCTCATGCCTTCTCTTCTTAGGAGAGCTGGACCCTATCCAAGGACCTCGGACTTCAAGAGAGATGGAGTGGGGACTGTCACACAGTCCATGCAGCATGGCGGTCCTCGCCAGCTCTCCCACACTCCTCTCCAGCCTGGAGGGAACTTGGCTGAGACCTAGGGGCCAAATAAACTCAAGTCCCTGGGGCCATAAGTAAAGGTCTTCCCCTAAATAACCTGGTGGTTTGAATGGCCCTTGTGCAGAAATGCTGAGAGAGTCAGCACTTTAAGCCGCAGTGCTGTAGAAAGAATGTGAACATCTCACTTTGTCTAGATGGGAGCCTGGCAACTCTTTGGACTGGAGAGTGGTGGCAATGGGAGTATTCCAGCCAGTGCTCACTCTGTGCCTAGGAGTTGGACAGTCACAGAGCCCAAGATAGGACCCGAGACAGCTGACCACTTTGGGTTACAGCTCCTTGGGGTTGCTCTTCCCGGGCCCTTACCCTGTCCCCCCCATTAAAGATGGCCTTCGCTCCATGGAAAGCTGGGGCTGCAGGTACTTCACAGACAGTGGGGCGGGGCTGGCGGTGGGCAGGCTCTCTCTGGGCATAGGCACAGGGCCATGGCCGGCTCTGGAGCGCCCTGCAAGGGAGCTGAGTGTCTTGAAGAACCCTCAGCACCACTGGGAGAGGCTCCCTGGGCTCATCTGGGAGGTGCTCTGGCTGGTACCAGCCATAGGTGACTTCTTCAGGTCTCTCTCAGAAGATGTTCTGCTCCCGTGGGAGAGAGAACATTTCCTCAGAGCTCCCCTAGTGTTCTCCCTTTCTCTAGGCCTATTTCGGCACCTTTTAACCTGATGAGTTTCTAGACTGTTCTGTCTGGAAGAGTGTTTGGAGATCATCCAGCACCAAGCTGCGAGTGGTGAACATCCCCATCAAACCAGGCTCCTGCTGTCCATCACAAGCACCCCTGACTCCCCCGGATCCCTGTGGTTTCTCTGGAATGGAAATCTTCCGTCATGCTTGGGAATGCATTTTTCATGTGGCTGTGGCTCTTCTCTGGCTTACATTTGCTGGAGCCATGCTTTTCCTGTGCCTGTGGTGTCACACATTCCTGTGTTTAGGAGGCCCATCTCTGTCTTCTGTGAACCTTTTCCTACAGGGCCATGTTCGGGGTCCTGGTGGGATTTCTTTTGCTGTTAGGCATGCATTGCAGCCCTAAGAAGACTAAGCAGCTGCCAGGCACCTCGGGCAGCTCTCGCCTACTGGCGGGCCTGGGATGCCCTTTAAGTCACTTGTTAGATGCCTGATGATACCGGCCTTGCAGACAGAATGATCTTGGGGACGGGAAGGTGTCCAGAAGGAAGCCTTCCTCTTCCCCAGCCTGGGAGGCTCCAGGTGCCCAGAGTGGCTCTTTGCTCCTGTCTGAAGGCTGGTGACTCCTGGAAACTTGCGCTGCCTCCTTCCACCCCGCCATGCTTGGCTGTTGGTGGTCAAGTCTGCTCTGGCGATGTCAGCTCTGGAGCTGTGTGGACTTGGGGAACACGATCTGCCCCCAGGGTCTGAGGAGGAGACCCCACCACTGCCCCATGCCTGAGTTTGGCACAACATTGCCAGGCAAAGGGAGATGGGGCAGTAGGCAGAATAATTCGCTGCTGTCACAGAGCTGACTGTGAGAGACCTGTAAAGATTTCAGGGGCTCGGTGGGGAGTCAGCAGAGACTGGCAGCCATGGGGTCCCCATGAAGCCCTTTGCCAACTCCGCAGCAGCTCTGGCCTGGGACGGCCCCTCAAAGTTGTCCCTGAGCTGGATGTGGGGTGAGGGTGGGCCTGAGAGGGCCTCACGGGGGTTGTGCTGACACTGCACTCAGCAGTGTGGCTCTGGGGGTCCTGCCACGTCACGTGCAGGTGCACCTGGAGCAGAGTCCCTGCCTGGATCTGGCTCACATCATCTTCTGTCTTTAGTGTCTCCCTCTTCCCCAGACCCAAGGCCAGGCCCTGGGACTCCTGCTCTGACCTGGGGAAGCCGGTGTCCTCCCCCGGATAGTAACGCATTGGTGGTGCCTTCATGATGTTGGCATGGCTGCAGTGCCCAGACCTGAGCAGGTGACAGGTCCCACCCCTGTCAAAGGGGAGAAGTGGCTCTGGGGACCTTCCACAGGCAGCTCCCTCCAATTCTTCAGCCACCAGTGTCCCCAGCACAGGGAGGTCGATCCTCATCCAAGAGGCCGTTGGGAAGCAGGCACCTGCTTGTGTCCTGAATGGCCCACCCCATTGGCTTACTTTCCATGAATTCCAGTTCTCGCTCTACTGAGAAACCGGACCGGCAGCCTGTCAGCCAGCACAGGGCCCAGGTTGGCTGTCCTTGTGTGTATGTATACAAAGGAGCTATTGTCTCCATGAGGAAAGACATTGTGGGAGTTTCCCAACAGGGCATCCAGTGACCAGAAGGCTCCCTGTGGCCCTACAGTTACAGGTCACCCCTGTCCCCTTGCGCAGGGCTGGGGTGGGGGAGGGAGAACAGTCGTCCTTGAAGCACAATGGTGGAGAGCACCAGGAGGAAGTGTTAGCTGGTGTTCCTGGGGAAGGCTGGGCTACAGAGTGCGCTGGTGTGGGGATCTTGGTTATTTCCGGGCTGTTCTTTACCTTACTCTTGGTGGCCGGGAAGGGAAGGCTGCTTTGTAGAAGCAGCAGGTAGGGTTATCCACATGTGCTGTGCCACCTCCTTTGTTTAAAAGCCTCCAAGGAGCCTTCTCTCCGGGTGGAAAGGGCTGGATATGAGGTTGGAGGAGTTGAAAAGTAGTTTTGAAGCAGGTTTGAAGTTTTAAAAGCCCTTCCAGATAACGTGGAGAGCCACATGAATTGTTTCAGGGTTTGCTTTAAATCTCGAGTGCCCTGATCCAAGGAGGGAGGCTGCTTAGGATTTACTCTCTCCTGGTCTTTTATAGCTGGACTGTGTTCCCCAGGGCACTGTGTCAGCAAAGCTGGTGTCTGACAAGGTGAGGAGTGCAGGGACTGCTGCTATCAAGGTCAGACCTCAGCCCTTGAGAACCCTGGGGTTTGAAAGACCTGGGCCCCTGAAGCAGAAGACTCTTGCCTTATAAGTGCAGTCCTGGACTTCATGGCTGTCTGTTTGGGTTGGGTGAAGCCTGCCACATTCCTAGCATTCTTCTGGCCTGGCATCCTTGGCCAGAAAGTGGGGATTCCTGAAACCAACTGGCAAGAGCTGAAACTTGGTTCCCCCTAGAAACTCCCTAGAAACTCGGCAGGTTCCAGTGCCAAATGCAGCCCAACGCCCCTGCTTCCCTGGAATGATCTCTTGCTGGGATCTGGGCTGGGGAACAGCAGGATAGTAGAAGAAGCCCTCCCTGGCCTGCAGTTCCCTGGGTGGCATTCGTGTGTTTAACTTTCTCTGGTAATGTGGTGGGGTTCTGGGCTTCCTGGGGCCTGGTGAGGGAGCCAGCCCTGCGGGGGTCGGCCAGGGAGCAGACAGGAGACTGAGGCTGCAGAAGGCTGGATCCCCAGTTGTCCTGCTGCTCCCCAGGGTCTGGGAAAGCTGGCTCCTGCCCACTGTGGTGGCATCCGCTCAACACCTGTACATCTTGCCCATTTGACAGGGAAGCGAACAGCTCCAGAGAGCCCCTCTCTCCACTCCAAGCTCAGAAGGCTGTTAAGGAGCTACGGCCAGGAGTCCCACCGAGACTGTGCGCCCCTAAGCCACCCTTCCTGGGAGGGTGACGAGCCAGGGGCATGTGCTGTGCCCTAGATCCTTCAGGACAGAGTCTCAGATGTGAGCCCTGCAGGCTTAAAAATAAACTGACGCAGTTTTTTTTTTGAATGGTGAATGCACTTGAAAGTCCAGGACAGAATGAAGGAGTGGATTGGGCAGTGTGAAAGGAGGGTGCGTAAGCTGTGGTCGCTGGGCTCCTCTCTTTCTCCTGGGTGATCGGGCAACGCCCGCCTGCGCCTTGCTGAAGTCACTGACAATCCTGCTCTGTTGTACTTGGGGTCTTGTACCCCTCCCCACCTCCTTCGACGAAGGCTGTCCCTGCCTATGGTGCTGTTGGGATTTGGTGGACTGTTAGGAGACACACCCAGTACAAGGAAGTGAGGGCACTGGGTGTGTCCTTGGAGGGGACCCTGGGACGCCAGCCTCTCCTCTCTGCTTCCTCACCACCTTTTGGTAAGCAGCTTCTGTTGTGCTCCCTCCAAGACACACTGCTGCCATAGTCCCAGAGCCACACAGCCGGAGGACCATGGACTGTGAACCTCCAAAACCAAGAGCTTTCTTTAGAAGTTGAATTTCCCAGGTATTTTGCCATAGCGACGGGAAGTAAAACACTGAATTCAGGGACCACAATGAGACAGAACTCTATACTTTTCTAATTGGGTGCCTGCCTGCTTGGTTTTTGGTGAAATTCACCAGTTAACCATTTCTAAGTGTGTGGTTGGTCCAGTGTCATATCTAGGGTTATGCAGCTGTTCCCTGTGGAGTTCCAAATTGGCTTCAGGTCCCAGGGTCTCAATCTGTAAGGAGATCCACTTACAGACAACATAGCAGCTAAGGCTGGTGACTTTGGCAGCGCAGCCCCCAGGCCGGCATGGACAGTCTCCAGCCAGTGACCTGTAAGTGCTGACCATGCCTGGGGGCCCAGCGTGTGCCCTGGGTCAGGCCTGATCTCGCAGTTGCCAGCAGATGGCCAGGGCCAAGGAGAGCAGAGGGCCCTGCGGCGTCTCAGCCTCTGCACAAAAGTGTTCAGGGAACCCACGCGGCCTCGGTCACCACCAGGGCTGGAGCTGGGTGAGGCGAATGAAACCCAGGAATCAGGACAGAGAGAAACTGGAGCCACTCTGCCTTCCTGTAGGAAGGCTCCCTTTCATCTCAGAAGCAGCAGCCTTGCCTCTCCTCCTGGTCCTGGCAGGCAGGGCTGAGGACAGATGAGGCGTTTTTAACATTCTTGGGGGTTGGGGGATAAAAGGTGTGAGTTGAAGAAAGATCCCACTGTCATTTATTTCAAGAGCCTGTGAGTCTTTTGAAGAGCAGGACTGAGACTTTGAAGACCTTTGCAGTCTAATCTCTATCTGTGAGCCGGACCCTCCCCCTTTGTTAGACCCTAACTCAGAGTTCACTGAGCAGACTGCCCTTCACAGGCCAGCCACAAGTTGTCCCTGAGGCTGGAGCCAGGACCCCTGCCACACCAGAACCCAAGGTTTTTATATATAAGCTGCTCACATCCTCCCATGTGTTTTAAAGCATCTGTCAATTAAAATACTAACAGTGTAGATTCTGTGTAAATAGTTGTGCTGTGCAGGTCAGGGAACCTGACGAAAACGTCTGCTCATAGATGCCGTATTATTTCTCTAAATATTTTTGGTCTGAGGTGAGTTGAATCCACTGACACAGAATCTCACTTGGACCGACTGTGCTTCATTCCTGGGTCAAAGAAGTAGCTATACAAAGAGCGCGTGACTTTGATCTTCTCGATGTATAGAAACATTTAGATTCTGGCCATAATACATTTTTGCATGAATTAATCCCACTGGGACCTGGAATTTTCCCCCCGAAGTGATGGGAATGAGTGTCTCTGAGGGATCTGGGAGACTGGTAGGAGTCAGATGTGCATGCGGGCTGCCTCCAGAGGGAGACCAGAGCCCAAGCTCAGGGCTCCCTGGGAAGCCCGCTCCCAGAACTGAAGCTGCCCTTCCAGAGCAGCACATTCTCCCTCCCTTGAGCCTCTGCCCGCTCACTGCCCCGCTGGCTCTTGAGCCAGTGCACGGCTGTCCTTGTAGGACCTGCTTCCCAGGCTGCCGTGGCTGATCCAAGGCAGAAGCAGGACCACAGGGCCATCCCCGGCTGGCGTGGGCCCCCAGGGACTCGGGGAGGTGGCCCGCGCCCATCCTCAGTGGGACTCATTCGTAAGCTCCCTCCACTCGCCCTTCGCCCCTTCCCTCCTTCCTCCTTTCCTTCAGAATCTGCCAGACCCTTGTCTTTTACCCCCTGGCCTCACTGTGCTCCAGTATTGACCAGAGGCCTCAGCACCCCTCGTGGGACTTCTCTGTGGGTGTTTCTGATGCAACCAAAGGGGTCCATTACCTTTCATTGTGCGCTATTTTCCCGCTACCCTCCCGACCTCAGGCTGCCCTCTTGGTCTGCAGGGCCACTGAGGTCAGAGGAGAGATGAACAGGATCCTGTGGCCGGGGTCAGTACCCTGGGGCTCCTTCTGAGTTGAGCAGCTGGCCTCCGAAAGGCTCAGCAGTGTTGCATGGCACAGGCCTCGGGTCTGGTCTCACTGTGTCCCCGCTACCACTGCCCTCTGCTGCCTGCAAGGCTGGGCTGGTTCTTCCTGCCTTGCCTCTGGGGGAGGCTGCTCACAGGCCTCATTCTGCCCTCTTCCCACTCCCTGCCCAAATCCTCAGGCAGCCCTGGACTTTGCTCTTAGTAAACACAGCCTGTTTTGTTTTGTTTTGTTTTTTTTCTTTCACCTCCATGGCTGCCCGAAGTCCTCTACCACTTGGTCCCACTGTGTGTGAGCCTCACCTGTGCCTGGCGTGGGATGAAACAAATCATGAAAAGCACCGCCTGGAGGATCTCTTGATGCTCCACCATCGCACACTGGTCCAGCATCGGCCCGAGGAACACGGGGACTTTTGTCAGTAGAAAGCAGGTGTGAGGACCCTGCGCACATGACCCTGGTTCTGTCCTTGCAGGGGATGGTAAGGCCTTGAGAGTCTGTGCAAACTTCTGCAGGTGTCGCCATTGCCCACAGACTCTGCAGAGCCTTTGTCCTATTCCAGAGGGATTTACACCCTCAGGAACATCACTACCACCGCCATGGAAGAGGGCCCAAGACAAGACTGTGCATGTGGAGATGTGGAGAGCTGGCCTAGCGAGGGACTGAGCGTCCCCTGGCCCGCAGTGCTCAGCTGTAGGCAAGACACAGGTAGAAGCCAGCAGGAAGTCCTTCTTTCCTTCCCAGCTTTCATTTCTTTGCTTTGTCAAGCGCAGCTGTTGTGTGCACCCTCTCAGAATGGGGAACACCTGGCTTCCAAACAGTCTGTGGACTGTTGTTGAACTTGGACTCACTTGCATCTCCTGGGAGCTGAGGGTGCTTTCTGGGTGGTTTAGAACAAACCCAGGGCCAGGTCCCAGTCAGTAGAAGGCGACTGACAGGGTCCTCAGGAGTGTGCAAGGGTCTTGGTGTCTGATGCTGGTGCAGCTTCCACAGGAGGGGAGCCGTGAGCTGTGGGTCCTGGGGCCGTGGCCAGGTTGGCATGGGCAGGGCCTGAGAGCGGCGGTGGTGCCCGTGTTTGAAGAACTCTCCCCCAGGTTCATTTTATTTCAGTCTGTACTGGCACAGCTGGCAAGGAGATTTATCTCCCTTGATCTTCCCAAGGCCAGTGGGTGGGCGGGCGGGCACTCATTAGCAGCTTCATTTTACAGATGAAGAAACTTGTGCCTTCAAGAAGCCTCCCAGCAACTAAGTCAAGGTCAGAGCCCACAGGGCTGGGCCCAGGGGAGCAGGCTGGTCTTGGCACCATCATGCTACGGCCCCAGGGTTTGCTTTAGGCTCAGGACAGAAGGCCAGGGAGGGTTCTAGAACCACAAAGCTGAGGTAGCAGAATCCAGGGGGCCTTAGGAGCTTCTGGAAGGAATGTTGAAACCCTCTTCCCACCGGCTTTGATCTCTTGGTTTCAAAGGGATTTGATGTAACCGGAGCCCCATCTGCAGGTCAGGAGGGAGCGAGGGAGGTGCATCTGCAACAGCTCCCTGTGAAGTGGTCGGTCACCCAGCTTGGGCGCCATGTTCCTGTAGAACACTTCCCCCATCCCCGCCTACATAAAGAGGCTTCAGGCTGATGCACTGAGCTTCCCATCCAGTGGCCACTTCCCCTGTGGTCACTTCGTGGCTGACCCTGTGCTGTGTCTGTCCTGCTCTCTGTCCTTCCTTTAGGGCCACACCAGAGGCACCCAGGGACTGGGCCAGGCTGACCCAGGGAAATGCCTCAGTCACTTCCCTTGTCGCTGGGACAAAACACCTGCAGCACAGAGGAGGGGGCGTTTGTTTTAGTTCCTGTTTTAGTCAGTAGTCCGCGGGCCGTCTGCAGTTACCCCCATGTGGGCTATAAGGACTTGGTGTAAAGACTCAGAACCTTCGGAGGCTGTGGTGGCCATGGCTGGAGGAGTGTCATGTCTGACCCAGGTGCCTCCCTGCCCACCGCTGCACCGGGCCCCAGCCCACTCCTGCTGAGCACGGTCCGTTTAGATCTCTTTGTGGTTTCTGTGGTTTCTGTGGTTTCTGTGACTCACCCCAGTGACAGCAGTGTGCTGTCAGTACAGACGGTTTCTGAAATGAAGGTGTCTTTCCAGGCTGTTCTCTGCCTCTGCAGTATCCCAGCCCCACCGCAGCCTTACTGGTGCTGGGTCTCCTGAAGTTGACTTTGCTGCATCACCAGGTTTGCCATTTCTTTAAATTACTACTGGGGTATAATTGTTAATACTGTAATAAACCATTTTTAAAGTATTAGGATTCAGTGAAACTAGGTACCTGACGTCTAGTATGCTTGACATAGCTTTTGACTTTGTGACTTGGAGCTTCTACAGTTAGGATGGTTCCATTTACAGTTATCATCAGTCTACAGTGGGTTTATGAGGACATCCTGAGTCAAGGAACTGTAAATTGAGTCATGCAGTTTATGACCTTTTGTGAGTGTCTTCTTTTATGTAACCTGATTTCAGAGCTTATCCATGTGGTGTGGATCAGAACCTTATTCATTTTTATGGCTGTGTAATATTCCGTTGTGTAGCCAGACCACCTCTTGTTTAT